ATTATTTGAATAAGTGAATTTTAAGGCTAAAGTTCTCTTGTTAAATTGATTTCTTTTTAAATAAAATTCCTGAAAACAATTGCGTACAAGGGTTGAATTAACGCATCGCGATTTGCAATATCTGTTAAATTATCTGGTCTTCAAAGTTTCAGTTTATGAAAAACCACAAAATTTACGGAATAGGCGAATAAACTTTAATTTGTTAGTGAAAATGTTATGAAAAACAAAACAATAAATTTATTACTACAAAAGTAATAACACTACAGTGTTGTTACTTTTATAACACTCTTTTAAGTTACATTTATAGTTTATTGTTTGATCAAACAACACCAAATCAAGATATTATAAATAGTTAAGTAATTCCAAACTTTAATTAAAGTAGTAATGCATCTAAAAAAAATACAATGGCTATTTAAACAATGTTAAAAACCTCAGCAACTTTTACGTATACATATTTTTATAAACAGTTTAGCATTTCTAAACATCTTACTAACGGTCCGGAAAAAACGCGCGTTCACTTTAAAATCAACCAATGAAAACACTGGTAATTTACTTCTTAGGAGAAATCTATATTAAAAGGGGAGGGAGGGGGGAGGCTAAAAACTTAAATTTTGTTTTATTATTTAATCAATTAAATCATAATAAAAGTAAAGACAAAAAAATATATTTCTAAATATACTTCTTTATAAGTAAAATTTATCAAATTGAACATCTCTGTTTTAAGTTTTAAGTAAATGTCAGTACTTCTCTCAGTGGCAAAACTGCGGAGGGGGGGGGGGGGGGCTTTGGTTAACAGACAAAAAGTGTCCAGATTTTAAACTAATTTTAGATTGCATGGGCGATATGGGGCTGATTTTGAAAATTGTGTTATTTGTTTATAACAAGTCACTTGTTACAAAGAAAAAACTATATCTCAAAACAAAAATTCAGTGAAAATTGGCCTTAAAATAAAAAAATATATACATTGGTAACTGATAAATAATAAAACTTTCATTGTAAATTCTCCCGCTTTTTTTATTATTTCCTCCTCCCATTTTATACATCCTGACTAAAATTCTCACCCCCACCTACCTTTGTATTAAGCACATTAGAGTAGTCAGTAACAAAATCCCTCCCCCCTCCGCACGATTTTTAAATTGAGCCCCTTATCTCCCATGCAACCTAAAATTAATTTAAAATTAGGACACTTTTTGTCTGCTCACCCCCCCCCCCTGCAGTTTCGCCACTGAGAGTAGTACTGACATTTACTTAAAACTAAAAACAGAGGTGTTCAATTTAATAAACTTTAGTTATAAAGAAGTATATTTAGAAATATATTTTTTTGTCTTTACTTTTATTATGATTTAATTGATGAAATAATAAAACAAAATTTAAGTTTTTAGCCTTCCCCTCCCTCCCCTTTTAATATAGATTTCTCCTAAGAAGTAAATTACCAGTGTTTTCATTGGTTGATTTAAAAGTGAACGCGCGTTTTTTCCGGACCATTAGTAAGATGTTTAGAAATGCTAAACTGTTTATAAAAATATGTATTCGTAAAAGTTGCTGAGGTTTTTAACATTGTTTAAATATCCATTGTGTTTTTTCTAGATGCATTACTACTTTAATTAAAGTTAGGAATTACTTAACTAAATCATTTTTATTTATTATATCTTGATTATGTGTTGTTTGGTCAAATAATAAGCTATAAATATAACATAAAAGAGTGTTATAAAAGTAACAACACTGTAGTATTATTACTTTTGTAGTCATAAATTTATTGTTTTGTTTTTCATAACATTTTCACTAACAAATTAAAGTTTATTCGCCTATTCCGTAAATTTCGTGGTTTTCCATAAACTTAAACTTTGAAGACCAGATAATTTAACAGATATCGCAAATCGCGATGCGTTAATTCAACCCTTGGCATATTTATAGAAAATATTTAGTATAAATAAAATGAAAATATAAAAGAATGGTGTCGGTGTCGAATAGAATATGAATGGTTTTCATATTCTATTCGACAATTTTTGTTAAAATAATTATTAGTTAAAAGCTTATAATATGTGTTAACAACATGTAAGATCTAAATTACTTGAAACAAATTTACTTAAGATCTAAATTAAAACACGTCTATGGCTAACTTTATATTAATTTATTTAATATAGCGAGTATATTAAATAAATTAATATAATTGTTAAATTAATACTTAAATAACTGTAAGTTACTATCTTAACTTAACTGGTTGTTTTGATTTAGGTTATAAGTTAATTTACTGTGATATACTCTATCCATTCAGAAAAATTAACTAAATATAACTTCAAAAGTGCAAATGATCATGCTCTATTCAAAAGCAAATGATCATGCTTCTATTCAAAAGACAAACTTTGCGTGACGTACTTTATTATGAAAACATTACTTTTGAGAATTGCCAAAAAAAAAAAAGCTAAATTAGAAAAATAGTAAATAAACAACTAAAGAAGTAAACCAATCGCAAAAATATATGTTTTAAGAAAAAACTAATCGCGAAGATGTAAAAAGCAATCGCGATTCACAATTGCGATATGCTTAATTCGAGCCCTGTATATATAAATATAATCTATCTAATGTACAATGAAACCTTTCGGTTAATACTGTTAGCAAGTCAGCTGTAGAACAAGAAAATCAAAACATATTGATGATCAGAAAGTAATTAGATTCAAGATAAGAGATTAAGTGTTTGTTAATTAATGATTTAAAAACGTTGCTCATGATAGGGAGAAGACTTATGTGACTGTAGTTAGACGAGTCAGATCGCTCTCCAGAATTTTTGAAAATAGGGATAACAGATGCCGCTTTCCAGTAATTTGTGCCCAAGAGGATACATTTTCACAACTCTTTATTTTCTTTCTTTTAAAAATGCTTCAACCCATTGTATTGTTAGACCAGATATTACATAAGCTGTAAGTTTAAGCAACAATCTTTTATGTGGCACTGGCAAATTCCAAAAAAACAACATCAATAGGTTTACAATTTTTTTGGCGGTTGAAATAAAATCAAGAGTTTCAAGTAAATTTGTTGAGCATGATTTATTTTAAACAAAACCGTTCTGTTCCTTGACTATTAGTTTAAACTTACATAGAAAAGTTTCAAGTTTACATCTGATTATACCTTTTATTATTTTACATACAATTAAGGTGAGTGATAAGGGTCTAAGATAGACATCTTCATATGTAAAATCTTCATTTGTCATAATGAATGTTTCATTAGTTCTCAATTCAAAAAAAGGCAGTAGACCATCATCTTCTTACACAAATGCAGCTTGAAAATTTTCGTTTAAGATATTGGCAATATCTTTTGAATTGTGAGTGGTTTCACCATTTTGTCCCTTTAATGCTTTTATAAAATCTTTGACTGCTTGTTGATTATTCATGTAGCTGTAGAGAAGCTTTGGATTCTTAGTGACTCCTTTTACCAGATTAAACTCAAAGTTTTGTCTCACTTTTTTAATCTCGTCTGCCACAAAAATTGTACAAATTTTTTTTGTATTTAGATCTCAAAACCTGGTCTTTCCATTTACATAAGCAGTTTTTAAATCTTAAATTTTGTTTGCTTCTAATAAGAAACTTTAACCTAACATTAACCCAGGCATCTGACTTTTAAAGAAGTTTAATGTCTTTTTAATAGGAGTGAAATGATTAAATACCACCTTATAATATAAAAAACCAGTTTATCAAACATTTCTTCTACATTTTGCTTATTTGAGCATTGTATCCAGTCAATATTTGAAATTAGATCAGACATTAGTTCGAAATTGGAATTTTTTTTTCTACTTTTATTGTCACAGATTGCTTTTTTAGACAAGATGAAACTGAAACATATTATTAGATGGCCTATGTTTATGTTTCTCAAAACAAATTTTTTAATCTATTTTATCAACATTTGCTGACTGAGTTGTAAAGACCAATCTAAGGTATTCACAAGTTGTTCATCTGACAGCTGGAAAGTTATACTAACTTTCCAGTTGGTATAACTTTCCAGCTAATATGTTAATACGCTGATAAAGAAAATTATCATTTAAAATATGATTGATGGAAAATTGAAATTGCCTATGATAAGTAGGTCTTTGAACTTATTTTTATCTATATATTTGCTTGCCGGCCAAAAACCACATCAAATTCTGCCATATCTGAAAAATCATTTAGTCTGTAGATACATCCAAATAAATACTTGTCATTATCAAAATAAACAACTGCCCAAACTTGTTCTAGTTAACAGGGATTTAGAACAGCATCATTTAGTTCATAGGAGTCCAATGAGTTGTCTATATATAAACAAACACCACCACCTTTTCGTCCATCTGATCTGTCTTTTCTATACAGATGGTACAGCGTTCAATGTTTACTGAATCACTCTTAAACCATGTCTCAGTCACAGAAATTGCATTTGGTTTGTATTGTTCATGTACCACTTTGAACTCATTTAACTTGTTATCGAGAGAGGTATGTATTTAAAAAAAATAAAAAATATTATCTGTTGAATCTATGGCAAATTTTTTAACAGTGAATATTATGTTACAGTTGTAATATATTGAATTTAAAAAATATCTCTAATCAAATTTGACATTTTGAAAACTAAAATAAGTAAAATATACTAGGACAGTGCACACCTAAACCCATAATCATAGTTATTTTGTATGATACCACTAGCCTAAATCCATAATCGTAGTATGAAATACTATAATCACTAATATGAAAAAAAAGTGTGAAACAAAAGATAATTAAAAACATAGTAACTAGTAATGATAAACACAAATGATGACAAATTAACTAAAATTGTATAGCGCACACCTAAATTTATAATCACAGTTATTTGGTATTAAAAAAAGCATGAAACAAAATACTAAGATGATTTAAAAAAAATTATTAAGCTTTGTGTAGCCAAAACCGTTTAGCTGTTTTTTAAATGTATCTGATTTTAAGCTAAAAATCAATTTTAAAATATTTTTTAAAAAAAAATAAATCTTATTTTGTATAAAGCCTCACCGCAACGAAATAATCTTTTTCCTTCGTCATTTCTTGAATTGATTTTTCACTAATATTTGCTCCTAGCAACATCAAACAACTTTGCAAATCATTTATTTCTTCTAAACTGTAATCTTTTACAGTTGAATCATCATTTTTTATTTGGAACTTTATAACATCTGCAAGACTAAATTCTAAAAACTCAACATAACTACTTTTTTGATTTCCAATAACAAAACATCCTTTACGATTGGCAGCTTGAGCTTCCATTATAGACTTTGTTGCTACTGATCCTTGTGATTTTTTTGCATTTTTAAACCACTCAAGATTGTGATTTGTATCAATCTAAAATAAATAATACTTTATAAAAACCATAGATAAAATACTAATAACATCAAATATCTAATAACTCAATTAAAAGAAAAAAAAAATCAAACTCAACAACATTAAATATTTCATAAATCACACACACACACATTATATATATATATATATATATATATATATATATATATATATATATATATATATATATATACATTAAAACATATTATTTCTTTTTTAAGTAATATTTCGGCTCATGTAGTGAGAGCCATTATCTAATACTAATAAAACTGTTAGAAAAATTATTTTAAAAATTATAATGAATGTAACCATATATATATATATATATATATATATATATATATATATATATATATATATATATATATATATATATATATATATATATATATATATATATATATATGGTTACACACACACCCTAATATATATATATATATATATATATATATATATACACACACACCCTAATATATATATATATATATATATATATATATATATATATATATATATATATATAATATATATATATATATATATACTTGTAGGCAGAAGAAACAAATAATTGAAAATTTTCTAGCAAAAAAACATGTTTGTATGTTTTGTTAGGAAATTTATTCACTTGTTAGTTTTTTAATAAAAATTGTTTGAATTGAAAAATTTTGTGCCATTACTTATAAAAAAGGTGTTGTGCCATTACTTATAAAAAAGATGTGAAAACTGATGTGGATTTAAAATTTATTATATATTAGTTTTTCATAATGAAGAGACTGGATTAAAGCAGTTCATAAAATTGAAGTTGCTCCAATTTCTAGTTCAATCCAATTAAGAGAAGTGAAAAGTATGCTAAAGTATACAAACAAGAATCTATATTATGATCTACGATATAGAGCTTGATAACTATACTGAGAAAATAAATTATGACATCAAACCACCTGATAATTTGTCTACTATTTTTAAATATTTTCAACACAATATTTATAAAGCAGAATTTAAACTTTTTACTTTAATTATTACAGTACTAAACTTAATTAAAATATTGAACTTGAAAAATAAGTTTGGCTCGAACAAAATAAACATATTTCATATGAAAATCTAACATCAGATGAACAAAAAAATTTTTTTTCAGACTTATTTTAAATGGTAATGCAGCTATTTAAACTCAGACTTGATGTTGGAGGGCCATCTTTATTTTGTGTTGATATGAAGGATATGTTTATATATATATATATTATATATATATATATATATATATATATATATATATATATATATATATATATATATATATATATAAACTGAAAGAAAAAAACTGCTTGGTGTTGCTCGATTTAATTCAAAAATGCCAATTCTGACCAAAAACTAAAATAGCACCACACACTCTTCTGTTGTAAAATACTCTGATAATGATAAAAATAATTGTGAAAATAGCAAGTGTTGGGTTTAATTTTTGCTGTTTTGTTCGTTTTATGTTAGTGTGTATTAGTAGGAGACATTTTCATATAAAAATGGGGCGCGAAAAGCATTGTAGTGCAGAGAAATGAGAACTGATCCAAAAGTTGATACCAGCAGGGAAATCTTATAGAGAAGTTGGTCGTTTAGTTGAGTGTTCCTATAAAATGATAAGAAATGCCATAAAATTTCAAGAAAAGCCTGAAACACGTGGTCGAAAACGTTCTATTTAAACATTGCTGGCCAATCGCTTAGTCCGACAGGCTAAAAAGGAACCTTTTAAAATAGCTACCAAGCTAAAAAAGGACTTTAACATCGATGCAACAGTACAAACAGTTTGGAGTTGTCTGCGAGTTAACGGATTAAAAGCCTATAGTCCCAGAAAAGTTCCACTTCTAAGTGCCAAACATGTTGTAAAGCATGTGTTTGCTAAAAAACACTCAAATTGGCCACTCGAAAAATGGAGGAATATTTTATGGACAGACGAAAGTAAGAATGTGCTTTATGGTGAAAAAAAGCTCTCGGGCGTATGTTGGAAGACCGCCGAATGCAGAATACAATCCAAAATATACCATCAAAACTATTTAACATGGAGGTTATAGTATAATGATATGGGTACATGCTTTTCTTATTACGGTGTAGGGCTCATTCATCACATTACAACTACTATGGATCAATATGTTTATGTTGATATATTGGATAAAGTGATGTTGCGTATGCAGACTATGAAATGCCGTTGTCAAAGAGTATTTAAACAGGACAATGACCCAAAGCACACTAGCAAAAAGGCGAAGAATTGGTTTTAGAAGCATAAAGTAAACGTTATGGAGTGGTCAGCACAGTCGCCAGATCTTAACCCAATCGAGAATTTGCGGGCTGACATAAAGGAGGTGGTTGCTGCCAAACCCACAACGAAGGAGTCACTTTGGAACGTAGTTAAGGAGACATGGTGCGCAATTCCGCTAAAGCGATGTCAGGACTTGGTTAACTTGATGCCAAGACATTGTGTAGCCGTCATTACCAATAAAGGTCAGGCTACAAAATACTAATGTGTTAAGAAATTACTAATATTTATTGTAAAATGTTTAAAACAATTGATCTCATAATATTTCCTTATTTTAAAGTACACATTAAAGCTGTGGTGCTATTATTTTTTCTGCGTTTTATTTGATTTTTTTTGAATTTTTGTTTAACCAATGGATACTATATATTAAAACTTGTACATTTTGTTTTTTATAAAAATTATAAGCCATTTTACTTTTAATATGTATTTAAAAGATTTTCAAACTATCAAAAATAGTTAAAAATTCTAATTTCAACCAATTTTTGGTGGTGGTGCTATTTTATTTTTCGCAGCTGTATATATATATATATATATATATATATATATATATATATATATATATATATATATATATATATATATATATATATATATATATATAATATATATAATATATATATATATATATATATATATATATATATATATATATATATATGTATGTATATATATATATGTGTATATATATATATTTTTATATATATTTATATAAATATATATATATATATATATATATTTATATATATATATATATATTTATTTATATATATATGGTCAGCACAGTCGCCAGATCTTAACCCAGATCGCGACCCTGTATATATATACATATATATATATATATATATATATATATATATATATATATATATATATATATATATATATATATATATGTATATATATATATATATATATGTATATATATATATATATATATATATATATATATATATATATGTATATATATACAGGGTTGCAAAAAAGACGGTTTTTTTAAAAAAACCAAAAACCATAGGTTTTTTTTTTTTTTTAAAAACCATGTTTTTTTTGGTTTAAATTAGGTTTTTACTAAAAAATGCGGTATTTAGTCATCCTTTTAAATTAAAAAAAGCATAACGTATTTTATTTGAGTAAACTATATTTTTATCAATATTATTGTTATATTTCATCAAAACTAATCAATACATCATTGTTTAATGTTCTATATAAAAATGCCAGCTTTGCTGCTTTTTCTAATCCCAATTGGTTTCTTAACTTAGAATGAACAAGACCAAAAGTTAAAAAAATTCTTTTAATTCCAGCACTAGAAGCTGGTGCACTTAATAAACCTTCAATATCCATTATGTTATAGTATGATATATACATTTTAATTTGAATAATATTGGTAACAAATTCTTGAACTCTTTATCTGCGAAATTCATGGTAGCGACATTTTCTAATCAGATCTAATCAGAAAGATTAGATCCAAAATATCTAGGATCTAGTGTGTTTACCAGGAAATGACCATCACTGACAGTCTGAAGGTATCTAGATTCAATTTTTTTTTTTTTTCGTTTGATAAAAATGATAAGCTGTTCATCAAATCTTTAAAAATTTCAAGAGTCACTTATTTTTGTTTGATCTCTTCGCGAATTATCTAGAGCTACTGCGATTGGTTTCAATATTTTCAATAAATCTTCTGTGTTTTGCTTTATCTGTATATCACTTACTTTTTTACTAATCATGGGATCCAAGTCTTTATTTTTTTCAAACATAGTGAAAATAATGCTCCAGTTGTTGACATTTTTCAAATGAATCACATACAGAATTCCAGCAAGTTTCAGTAGGAAGTGGCAATTTTGTTCCTCTGCTTAATTTATAAATTGCTCCAGCTTGATGATTATTTCTTATATATTTTATTATTTGTGTAACATGCTTGTTCAGATCATTTGCTAAAAGATTCAGCATATGAGCAGCACACCCATAAGTTATGATAATATCTCTTTCAGATGACAATACCTGTTTCATTAATTTTATTTTAGCTGCATTGTCAGTCACAAAGCTTTTTACTGTGCATCTAAATTTACATCTTACAAAATCTATTGCTTCTCTTGCTAATTGTGTAAGATATTCACCAGTGCGTGGATGACCAGAAGTGTTGATTGCTTCTACTAAAATGTTAATTTTATCAGTTATTACATAGATACAAACTATAGGTTCATTATGTACATTACTCCAGCCATCTAAAGACATGGCTGCAATTTTCCCATTCAATACATTACATTTTTCAATTGCTTCTGTGTAAACCCTATCTAATATTTCTCCTCCAATTTGAGTTCTATTAGGTAGAGTGTATCCTGGATGAAGCATATTGATAAACTTAAAAAAAAAACATAACAAAAAATATATCTATATTGAAGATTAGTTATATTTGTGAACATAACCCTGTCTTAGTTTCCTATTGTGAGTTCAAATCTTTTTATAAAAACATGAGTTTGGTTTAAACCAATATTTTTTTAATTGGTTTAAACCATGCAACCCTGTATATATATATATATATATATATATATATATATATATATATATATATATATATATATATATATATATATATATATATATATATATACACATATGTATATATATATATATGTATATATATATTTATGTATATATATATGTGTATATATATATATATATATATATATATATATATATATATATATATATATATATATATATATATATATATATATATATGTATATATATGTATATATATGTATATGTATATATATATACATATATATATATATATATATACTCATACATACATACTAGCTGACCAGACCAATAAAAATATGGGTCTTAGTAACTCTATTCCACAGCGACCTTTTTTATGCTTTTTACTTATATCCTAGCTTTCTTGACCTGTAAATTAACATGTGCACTTTTTCAGCTTATGTAGAGCTTATAAGAGATTTATAATTAGATTTGTTTTTCTTCTAAACTCGTATCAATTATAGCTCAGTGGTTTGGTACGCTGTTATCTGCTTGGTAGTGATGGTTTCTTTGGCAATTTCCTGTTCTATGAACTATGTTCTAATAATATCTAAATAATTGGAGAGGATTGCATTTATGCTCTAGCAATGACACTATATTTAATATGCAGTGTAATTGTCACTGATTTGATTTTTATGCTATCAACTTTTGCAAACTAAGTCATACATTTTTTTTACTAAACAAACTTGTTTGAAGTTCCCTTCAAATAAGGTTCTAAGATTTCTTTAAATAATTAATAAAATAGTTTAGGGTTCCAGTTCTCTAACTTTTTTCACTTTATATACCATTTTTTAAACATATGATGTTATGCTGTCTCAAATGACCCAAAATTTGATATCATATTTACCAAGTTTACTCGAAATGATTTGATACCATAAATACCAGGTTTACTCTAAATAGACATCTACCTCAAAATGCTACTAACTGTTTATCTACTGTTATGAACCAAAGAATCAAGAACTTTAAAGCATCTTGCCAATTTTTCATCTAATTTAATTTAACCTTCTTTTTCTCTAATTTAATTTAATTTAATTTTGCTATAGTTAAGCATAAGTACAATCAACAAAAACCTCAAAAAATTGTTTGTTAGTTAATTATCTTGACAAAGTTTTATAAAAATGTAAACATTATTTTTGCTATATTAAAATTATATATTATTTATTATTTATTATTTAAATTAAAGCTTTAGTTCAAATGGTTTTTATGAACATTCTACTTTTTTATAAGAGGATTTTGTCTATAACTTGACAAGGTAAATATTCATGTGATAAAAAAATATGTTAGTATATATTCCTTTGTGAATTGTCAAATTTTTTGAATATTAAATTTAGAACTCGAATTAAAAATAACTTCAGAGAAAAAAAAAAAAAATTTAATTTATTTATTTTTATTGTTATTATAATTTTTTTATTTACTTATTCTGCTCTTTCTTCTTTATGGTGCTCAAAGATGAACTTTTGATTAAAATATTGAGTGTATTGTAAACAGATAATCTAAATCTTTATTGAAAAGATTTTTCAAATTGTGTCAGAACTTAACCAAGTAATTTTTGAAATCACTAACTAATATAAAAAGAAATTCTGCTTTGATAATAAAGGAGAGTTTCTTGTTATATAGGTTAATTATACTTTTAGGATTATTTTATTGGTGGCTTTATTGGAAGCTACATCTGATGATAATGGTCAGTAGAAAAAATCAATCAAAATACACTTTGGTCAACAATAATTACATACAAGACCTGTCCCTCAATATGTAGCTAAAAAGCTTTTTGTAGAATAATACAAAATTAATGATCAACAATGAGAAATTGTTAAAATATCAGTTTACACTCCAATTCTGTAAATTGAAGCATTTACAGAATTGACAGACTGATGAAAAGTTGAATACTGTACCTAGTAACATTTTGCTTATGCTGTATAGCTTTTAAAAATTATTTCACACTATCTGTAAACAAAAGGATACAATGGCTTTTTATAAATGGTAGAATATGAAAAAATTATTTTTATTTTTAACTTAATAAAAGATTATAAAAACTATTAAGTAAATATTAAAAAAGTTAAAAGTTTTAAACTTCAGTTATCAATAACACAAAAATCATCACCAGCTTTTTAACAATATCATCATCACTCAACATCATTTTTTCAGTTTGTTCACATGCCTGCAAAAGATCTTTAAAACCAGAATTTTTGTTAAGATCAAATATGATGTGGCTAAAAGCAAGACAGCAAGCTTCAAAGTATTTTACTCTGTCAACTTCATAATCAGTTTCACCTGCAGCTATTGACATGATTTCAACAAAAACTTTCACTTCTTTTGGATCTAAAATTTAAATACATAATTTTAATATAGCAAAAATAATGCTTACAACTTTATAATTCTTTATTAAGTTTGTCATAAAAAAATTAAAATAAAACAATTCTTTATAACTTAATGCCTTACTATTTTTGATAAAATTTGTTATGATAATTACAAAATTGTTAATAATGTCATTTAGAAAAAGCATTATTTGAAATATGACTTCTAAAACAGATTATAAATGTATTTTAAGTCAATCAGAATGCTTAATTCAATTGGATGAAATATGGAATATGTTACAATTGGAATAAAATTTAAAAAAAATTTTTTTGATTGGATTAAAATATGAAATGCTTAGCATTTTATATTTTTAAATAAAAACATTACCTTGTTTAAATTAACAAACAATACATGTTACAATTTTTTTTTGGGGTATTTGACTTAATTTTAAATTTTATTTTTTGATTTTCTTTTAATTTTAAAAACTGCAATTTTAATCAACTCAAAATTAGAAGCAGCTAAATTATTTCAAAATGATTTTTAGAGAAAATAATACATAACTGGCTGAATTTTGAAATGCTTACCTTTTAAATTCTCTTTCAACCAAAAAAAAAGTTTTAGACATGATGAAATAGCATCAAATATTTTGAAAATATTTGGTGAAAATTTTTCAAAGAAATCAGCCAAGCGCTTTAAATCTTTGTCAATATCTTGCAATCTTTTAATTCTATGTATGGGTTTCTAAACAGTTAATGTAAAACCAAAAAAATAAAATTATTTTGTCTTCAATTAAAAATTTAAATAAAGTAATTTTTGAAATAAATTACCAAAAACTTCAATTATAAAATGAAAACAACATTACCATCATGTTCTCAACAGAAGTAAAATCTCCATGTAATTCTAGATTTTCTTTCACTTTTTGTATTGCACTTGCAACGTTAGAATATTTTTTCATTAAAAACACACAGTTTATTTTTTCAACACAGGTTTCTATGTCTACTTCAAAATTTAACTTTAAAATCTTTTTCAATAAAAAAAGTTCTTTTTTGTAGTCAAATTGATTGTATTCAGAAAATAATAAAATCACATCAGATGGAGATATATTACAAGAAACTATGCTTTCAAACAGAATTTTTAAATCTTCAAATGTTGGTAGGATAATATCATCAAATAATTGAGTGTAATCAATTTTTACCATGCTTTCTTCAAATTTTTTTGCAGTTGAGTGAATTTCTTTTTTGAACAAAAAACTGCTCATCACTTTACAACCTGTAATGTGAGAAGCATATTCAAACCACCTTAAAGAAATTTTGAAGTACATGCACACTTTGTTAACAAATTCTAGTTCATCATTTGATAAAATTCGACTAACAGATTCATCAATAACTAAAAAATCAGAAGTTACATCTGGAGTACTATCCACAAAAATTTCTTTAAAAGTTAGAACTGAACAATTAGAACAAGATAAATCCTCTAACACTTCAGTGTTAACTAAAGAAAAATAACATTACATTTAAAAATTAGTTAATTTTAAATTATTTTATTTTAAGCATTATTAATTTTATAAATCAAAATATTAATGAGCTTAAATATAAATGAAGTGCTAAAGTTTTAACATTACATAATGAGTTTTTAAAAGTATTCAAGTTATAGTTGGACATAAGAATGATTTAATAAAATTACAAAAGATAATTAATGACATTTAATTAATTAAATTAATAAACAGTAATTAATGAAGTCATTAACGATTTTCTTAATTTAATAAAGTTTTTTCAAAATCATTTGGTTAGAGCCAAATAAATATTTTTTTTTTTTAATTAACTGTTATACCATAAAAACACCTAACTATGGACACCATAAAAACACATAATTATGAATAACTTACTTATTACAATGAGTTTTGAAAAAATAAAAACACTAAAATATATGTAACAAGACAAATTAAATTATAGTAAAAATATATATTTTTTAATTTTAAGTTTCTAAAATTTAAGTTTTCTAAAAAAAAATTATTTTTACCTGGAATTAAGGTACTGTGAACCTTATTCCAGATGGATACAAAATATAAAAAACACATGCGTAAACTTATAAAATTAATTAACAAAATTATTATAAACATTTTACTGAAATGGAATTGTTTTAAATTATGTTATGGCAAAAAATATTCTACTGGCATTCCATGCATATAAATTATCCTACTATGGATGATAATCAATCACACAAGCAACGCAAGATCAACTAGCACACTGTTCATATGAATCTTTTTTTTTTCTTGATTTAGATGGCTGACTTACTTTCAAAAGTTTTTTTTTGTTTATTGTTTTTTTGCATTTTCTTCTTTTGAGACGCAGCAACAATTTGCTCTTCAGATTTTTTTTTGGCAGCTTATTTGTCTAGTTTTTTTTTTATTCTTGTTCAGCTTCGGCAAAAGCTTTGACATCTGCTGAGGTCATAGTATAATTGGCTGGCTGTTTAATTCTTTCACCTTTCTTTTTTCTATTTATGTTGATCTTTAAGCAAAAATAAACTGATTCTTTGATGTCTTTTCCTGGCTTTTTAACTGTTTTCTTTACTAAATTTAAACTTCTGAGTAATACTTCTTGATTTGACGTTCTACTTAACATTGTTTTAGGAAATTTAAGTATATTGGTTACAGGCTGAAATAAACTATCCATGTTCTCTTCTTCAATTCTTTACCAATTGTAGTTTTTTTGGAACAAATTTTTGATTGATCAAGTGAAAATAAATCACTACTGCTAAAACCACTACGAACGTTTTCAGGTTTAAAAGAATTTTTTTTTATAAGTTCCTTAAGCATGCAGTAAACTGTCTATTTGTTAACTATTGAAAATTATTTCTAGTTAAAAAATTGTCTACTGTTTGCTTTCATTTGCCTTTAACTATTTTAAAGACACCTATGTCTATAGGCAGTAAAAAAAGGCTCATATGAGCTGGCAATCGCTAAAGTATAATATTATTTTTGAAGGCTACTTTTTTCAATTCTAAATTAATATGTGAAGCTTGACCATCAAGAAAAACCAGTTTAAACCCTTCAAGTTTATTTGCATTAGGCAAAAAAAAACAGTTTTAACCCACTCAAAATATTGTTTTGACTTCATCCAACTTAATTCACTATTATTATTATTATAAACATCTTCAGTGGCACCCATGCACCAGCTTTTCATAATATATTTTTCTTTGCTAATTACTTGATGTGGCAAATAGTTTACATAAGTATCACAATTTTTTTTTTGGATTTTTAGTAACTTTTTTGCATACTTTGTATTCAATATTGTAATCCAGACTTATCATAATTAAAAATATGAAATAAGTTACTATTGAGATTGCGCTCAAGATAGATGTGCTATCTAATAGGTCAAAACAGTTATTAATTATTTTTGGCTGAGTAGCCACTGCACAGTGTTTTCGCCGACATTGCTAATTGGGTTAATTAAAGATATTTTGGAAAGGTTTTTATGCGTAAATTTTGGAACTAAAAAATAATTTTGCTGCAGGATAATTAGGTCATAAGTTAAAAGAACAAAATACTGAAAATTTCATAAAATTTGTTTTTTCGTTAGTTTTAACAAAAACACATATGTATATTTTGTAATACAAAGATAACAAGACAAAAGCAATAAAAATTATCAAAAGAAGTACTAAAATATATAATTTAGACAAGTTAACATTATAAAATATGTCATCTTCAGAAAAAAATGAGACATTTTGTTTATAACAAAATTTATCAGAATGTCCTCTTTTTATACCAAAACTTGCAGAATGGTTTTGACTTGTATCTCTTGTCAAAAATAATTTGATCAGTTGATATTAACATTAATGGTGTCTATTAAATTGACAATTTAGGAGTTTTTTCTTGAGAGTCTATATGTATCCATCTTAATATTTTGTTATTACCTTTTAACCCTGAATCATAAAGATTTCCCAAACCACCTTCCTCATTACTCAAAACTAGCACCCAAGAATGACCAATCAGTTTGTGAAGTGATGGTGTTATACTGATCCATGGTCCAGGTAAACTTTCTTTTGTAACGGGCAGAAGTTCGTTAAATAGGAAAAAATAAAAAAAATAAAAAAAAAACCTGTACAATAGCTTTTATCCATTTTTGAGGAAAATACTCAAAGAAAAGACCAATTCGAACTTTTGAAATGTTGCATGATATTGAACAGGCTATTGTGCAATAATTAAATAAATTGAGCAGCCGTGATGCAGTGGTAGTTCACTTGCCTCAGAAATAAAGGTTCCGTGGTTCAAACACCACCTCTGGACAAGTTTTGCAACATCAGTTAGGCGTGAACTTTCAATGAAATGCATATCTGGAGTGCTCTGTAATAAGACTGTAAAAACTTTTTGAAGATTTTGAGAAATTAAAAAAAATTAAATCCTTATATGAATTTTTGTGCAATAGTTTTCTAGCTTGTAGTTTTCTGATTGTATCAGGGTAGTCCCATTTTAATACCTGTTCATTTTATTATCTCTGTAATAAAGTGTCTACTTACTGCAGAAATCTATTTGAAGCAACTGAAATGGGACTCAGACCAATCAAAAACACCGGAAAAGATTGCTGCTTTCATATCTATCATATATGACTGCACTATCACCTTTCAATTAAATTTCTTTCCCTCTTTATACATAAGGAAATCTTTATTTTTAAACTCTTTAATATCAGAATTAAAGATAGATAATGATTGAAGAGTTTCTTTTTATTGTTTTCCATTTGAAGACACAGCAATTTGTGACTCAGTGGGGCATTTGTAAATGTGCTAGTGTTAATATTATCTTTTTTATTAAATATTGCTTCCAACACCATCAAATCTAAACTTTATTTTTATTAGTATATTTTCAATGTTTATATCTAAAAAAAAAAAGTTTCCAATAATCTTTTCATCGTCAGTTTAACAGCCTGAAATAGACTGAAGTAAACACCAGAATAAGGTATTTGAAGGTAATTGATATATAAATAAATTGATATGTAAATAAAGAAATTGAAGCTAATTTATAATAACTGATGTTACTTCGGATAGTTTTTTTCTGAGATGTTTCTAACTAGGCAATATTATATAGTTTATAATATTTATATAGTTTATATTATAATTATTATGTTATGTTTTTGTTATGTTATGTTTTTTTATAATTATTAATATTATGTTATAATATTATATAGTTTATATTTTATAATAGTTTCTAACTAGGCAATAAAACCAGCAATTGAAAGAGTTTTTTGAGTCAATGCCTACCAAGAACACAATCTGTTTAAATTGACATTGCTTCTATTGGAACCTTATTGAAAAGAGTTATTCCTGAGCATACTTTAGTAATACTCAAACAAGGTTTCCTTACCAGCCTTGAACTGTATACCAGCTATTCTAAACTATTTTTTTTTTGTGCCAATGTCAACTCATCAGAGCCAAGTACCTTAGCAATTGTCAATATACAGCCTGTTATATTTGCAGAAATAGTTTTTGGTTGTTTATTTTCCTCAGCAATAAAAATTTCAAATAAGTCAATTCAGTGAGTTACATTATTGTTATTGATTATCTAATAAGTTTTTAAACAAAATGATTTAAACTTAAAATAATATATTGTAATTTAAAATATAAACAAGTTTTTGTGATAAGTAAAAATATTATATTATTACTATATACACCACAAAGCCCTCCGTTTTGATTGTAACTCAATTTGTTTATTTTAAAACAGATTTAAATGCTGCAATTTTTTTATTAATGATTGTACTAACTAGATTAAATTTAGCAAAAAATAAAAGTTCAATGAAACAGAGAGCAAGGAAGGGGGCGGGGTTGGAGGTGTTGGTCAAAAATAGGTCTTAATCCAATTTAGTTTCTAGACATGCATTTTTACTAAACACATCTTCCACTTAAAAAAGTATATACAAAATAATGTAAAACTATTTGCATTCATATTTTTTTAGTATATTTTACAAAATTTAAAATAAAGGGGTAGGGTCATTCTTTTACTTTTTTTGTTTAAAAGTATTAAGTTGGCACAATTTAGTTAAAAAGCATCTTATTCCTCTTTGTTATAAGAGTTTAAAAATTTTTACTAGTGCCAACTTTTTGAGAAAAATTATGTTATCTGATAAAAAATTTGTTAAAAAACATTAAAATTTTGCTAAACTTTAGTTGTTTAATAAGGCGTTACATTTAAAAAAAATTTTGTACAATTATCTATGAAGTAAATATTTACATTTCCGTAAACTGCAGTCTAACATTGTTTCAACATACATTCTTATATAATGCCAAAAATGACTTTTATGTATCATTTACACCTATTACCTGTCTTTTGTAACAAATTTACGTTATTCAAACTAGTATATTTTCTGAACAAATTAGTGAATCCAAATCCGGATTTCGGAATTCCGTCATATTTTGAATTTTTAAAAATCCGGAATTCAAAAACGTAAATTCCGGATTTTATTTTATTTTTGATGTTATTTAGAACTGTTTTTATAAAA